ATATTTATGTTTGTGGTTGTAATGTGACAAAATATGGAAAAGTTCAAGGGGTATGAATACTTTTGCAAACCACTGTATAAAGTCATTTGCGCTAGGTTGGATAGAGGAGGTAGGTAGCTTCAGTAGCTACTGTTGTGTGTTGTTTTCAATATTTTCACTCCCCATCTGTCCATAATGTGTCGACGCCCTCATCCAAATCCATACATAAGTCTGTGGAGGGAGCATTTCACCCTAAAGATATGAAGATACAGTACATTTAACTTTTAAATGTACCTACAACATCTACAGAGTAACGTCTAAAGAGAGTTTTCTAGAAAGGAGGTTTAATAAACTCTGTGTTTATCAATAAATTTAGAGTTAATTTAACCAGGGTGTAGACACTCTGGGCTTTTGGTTCCACAAAGGCTGATTCCACTGAGGTTAAATAACTCAGACTAGCTTAACCTTGAGTTAAGTGTGGGCTTGTGTGCTCTGATACATCAATTCACCACAGCAACAGCAGAAAAAACAAACAACAAAATACAGAGTTGAGCCGATTTCAGTGCTCCTTGAACAGAAACACCCTTGATGTCACAGACCATCACACCTGGTAACAGACTCTAGAGCAGGAATGTAACACTCATTTTCACTGAGGGTCACATGAGCATTATAGTGGCCCTCAAAGGACCAGTTGTAATAAACTTTGACGTTTTGTGTTTAACTTCATCTAAACAAAAAATTTCACATTCCTCTGTAAATTACACTGATTGACTGGCTGAGCACCACTAACAGACAACAACTGAACTCTGTGGTATTTCCTGCACAGAAACAAAGTTTTAACATGTCTTACAAACTCTGAGAAGTAAAATACGAATAACTAAATGTGAAATAAATAGAGGTGGGCAGTAATGAAGTAAATTTACTTACATTTACATACTTCCATACAGATTTTGAGAATTTGTACTTTTCTTGAGTAACCTGTTTATTTAACTTTTTACTTTTCCTCCACTACATTTTAACAGAATTCCTCTAAAGGCTTTAGACATTAGTTACTTTTTTAGCCATGTTTGTATAGTTTACTTCAATTTTGTTCCACCAATACACTAAAATTACACACTACACCCCTATACAGTAGGTGGCAGTATGCAGCTTTAAACTGGTTGCAAGGAGGAGAAGAAGAATTTTTGTCCTATTAGTGTTGCCTTACAGGTAAACTGGGTATAGATGTACTGGACATGTTTCCTCACTATTGTGGGTCTTTGTTTCGATCTTGGTTTGTGCTCCTGATTTTAACATGGACTCAACTCATTTCAGACCTAAGTTAGAGCGTTTTAGACCTTTACTTCCTTTTAGTCCTTGAAGTGGTGCCGATGTAGACTAAATGAACTGATAGTTCTTGTAGAGATTGCTCTTCTTCTGAATAAATGAAAACTATGTAACACAGTTTACACTTAAATTAAAAATATTTGACCAACTGAAAACCGGACCAGGACTTGAGAGAGATGAATATGATTTAGATTTTTATTCCTGTGACTGTATGACCCACAGGAGACATTAACAGCAGTCATAATTTCATTCCTCGGCTTTAGCAGCTCCTTTAATTCCACAGCTGATGCTGCTAAAAATGACAGATTTTCTTTTCTGGATCTCTGAAAGCAGGACTTCAGTCTTCAAACTCGTAAAGTTCTTCTTTTTACTTTGCGATGTATGAATGGACACTTCCTGGTATGTGGGGCAGGAAACATAGCCTTATATGGTGTTTTTGGGGTAGGGTAATTATGCTAATCACCTCTCCCGAGCACCTGGATACGCATTCATCAGTTTACGCAGCTCATTTACACACTTTTCCTGAAGATAGAAGAGTTTATTGAATCTGACGTGACATGTTCGTACGAACCCTTCGTACGAATAAAAAGTAAGAGAAACTTAGGATAAGAATACGAACATGTTCTTGCATGAGGCCCAGTGTTTTTGAGCGTGCACTATCGTAGGTGTAGTTTATGGTAAATGTTGGCTTTATAGCAGCATACGCTTATTTTAAGATATTAATAAATTTTTGAAGCGCTCCTTAGTCCATGAAATGTAGGGGCAGGCCACATTTAGCCCACGGGCCTTGAGTTTGAAGAATACACTCTAAAGTTTCACTTTCCTCTCTTTCTGAAACAGAAATCCTAGAGTTCATTTAAAATCAGGGTTAACTTAGAGTTTTCACTACCTGCTTATGGAATCCCCCAAAAAGATTGAGTGACTTTATTGATATTGTGTTTTTGACAATAAAGCCAAAAAGCAGAGAATCAGTACACATGTGTGAAAAATTCCACAAACAGACAACCTTTATTTTGTTTTCAGACCAAGTAAAGTTCCCATCTGCTGCGTGCACCCTACAAAACAAGGCAAAATGATTCCCTGCAACCTAAACCAGCTTGAAGAATTATAGGAAATCAACCTGCACACTCGGAGAGGAGACCATAAGTAAGGAAAACTCATAAGTTACTGCAGATGTTTAGTAAACATGGTGAGTTGAATTGAGGAAGCTGAATCTCATATGAGGAGAGAGGAGGACCAAAACAGATGTCCTTCAGTTCAACTTGCTTGAATTCATGAGGAGAAATTAATCTTTTTTTTTTTTGCATAAAGAAACCCCTACTTAACCCACAGCTCAGATAAAAAAGCATCTGTGATAGAACACACAGATATTCAGACAAATAAATCATTTATTAAAGTTTTTTTATTTCATCATCTGTGTTTGTAAAGTCAGTCTAATGTTCTGCTGTCAGCCTTTTACTGTTGCTGGTAGTTTGGTAAATTTTGTTGCTGAACACTGATATAGAATAGAATAGAATAGAATAGAATAGAATAGAATAGAATAGAATAGAATAGAATAGAATAGAGTCCACCTTCTTGCAAGTTGGTAAAATCTGCCACAAACACTTAAACTTTTAACCAGATGAGGGAAGTGTTGTGCTGCTTTTACATCTTTGTAAATGTGTAATTCTTCTAAATAAAATAAAATTAACTTGCAAAATGGTTTCACTGATAAAAACAACACATGTGAAAGTTGAAATGCTTACAGGTTAGACATAGGCAGACCCAGAGGCTGCTGAAACTACACTGACCCTGTCCTGTGTGTGCTGGGGGGGTACTACTGTGTGTCTAAATTGTTCAGAGACTCTCATTAAGATTTAATAGGAGTTTTCCTAAACAGTGGTTTTCTTTTTTGCCACACTCCAAATAAATCAGACCAAGGAAGAATCCAAGTAATTAATTTAATTTTGCAATACACAGTTGTTTTTACTGTGATATTTAAAAAAAATCCCTTTAGTTGTGCTTCTGCATGGTCGGGAAGTATGGAGCTAATTTGGGGCCAAACAACTGAAAATGAAAAAAAAAAAAGGTTTGAAACCACACCCCCTGTCATCTGAGGCCCCGCCCCCACAACAAACAAGGCCAAAACATTCTGCTGTAAAACAAAGTGCAATTTTAACACCCAGAGAGTTGAATTTAACTCTGTTTCAGGTAATATTTGGTTCCATTCAAAATCAGTGTAAAAACCTTTCAGAGGAAAAATCAACAAAGAAACGAGTAAATGATTTAACACTATAGCTTGTTTACACTCTACAGAGTTAGAATGTTATTTTTATGGAGGTATTTTACGCTACATCTACTTTAAAAAGTACACTTTATTGTGTAATACTATCATTTTTTTAACAGTGAGTATAAAAATAAAAGAATAAAAAATAGAATCTGACATGTAGTTTTGAGCTTATTTACAGTCTCAAATCTTTCTTTTTCAGTTTGAAATCTCTTTTTTTGTCTTTTTTTTTTGTTTGAAGTCTTTTTATTTTCCTGTTTCAATTTTTTCCAGTTTCAAATCATCTTTTTTTCAGTTTCAAAATTTTTCTTTCATTTAACAAAAAAATGTCTTAAAAAAACTTATGGCCACAATTAGCGCCACACAGAAGTGCTACACGTAGCTGCAGATTTGTGTTGGAACTGTGGTATTTATGAAGAAACACAGATCTTTGATTGCTTGCTGATCCCTGTTCTCTTTAACAAAGTGAGGTTCTCTCAGACTTCTACCCAGTCTCGTCTCTGACCTGTCTGGCTGAGCTGTGAGGTACTCCGGCTCCGTCTTGACGGCAGGATGGCAACGACACGTTGGCTCAGGCTGGAGCGCCGCTTCTTGATCCCGCTCCCCAGACTCCCGAGTGCCGTGTCCGACTGGCTGCCGTCGGCGTGCTCCATGCCGTAGATCTCCCCGCTCACGCTGGTGCTCTTCATCATGTGGCGGCCCGATGCACGCATCGCTCGGCTGAGGGTCACGTTTGACAAAACGTTAGTAAGTCGATGCTACAGACAGAGGACATGTCGGAGCGGGAAGTGGGCGGTACCTGAAGCGTCCCCGGGGTCTCTCTGACTGGATGGACATGTAGCTGGTGCTACTGATGCGAGAGGCACTGCTGGTACGAGAGATGGCTGACACATCACTGACATCACTGTCTGAGGACTTATGGGATATATTTTCACTATTCCTCCTCTGGTCCTTATAGAGCTGCAGGAACCAAACACAAGACAGGATACAAAGGGTCTCAGGTGAACACTGTTACAATGAGTAAACCAAAGCAAATCCTGCCTTTAATGTCTGTGTTACATTAAATAAAAACCGTCAGCCACCTCTCGTTTGTTCTTGAGGGCTTGGTCCAGGTCTTGTTGGCTGGAGGTGGGGGCAGCTGACATCCGGTTAGAATGAACCCTCATCTGGAGCTGACGAACACGCTCCTCTGCTACCAGGGCTGCATGAGCAAAACAAAACAAAAAACATGAGCAAACGGACGATTAGCTTTCATTAGACTGAAGCTGAATGAGGACAAACACAAGACAGATGAAGCAGAACCTCCAAAACCCATCTAGAACCCACCACACGTAATGCTGATGAACTATAAATGACGTGGTGCTTAGACCAGGGGTCTTCAGCGTTTTTTTTTTAGTCTAAAACCCCCAAACTGATGGAGACAAAGCAAGGACCCCTATAGTGTGTAATCTCATTAGCTGACTGCTATCATTAAGAGCTGCAGTGTTGTAGAAGTATTGACTGAAATACATTATTTTATGTCTCATGTTGAGTTCATGGTGATGCGCGTTTAAAGACCGAAATAAAAATAAATAAAAATAAAAGAAATTCATCCCCCTGCAATAACCTCAGTGACCCCATCACTGAAGACGTCTGGCTTAGACTGGTCCCATTGTCCTCCGACAGCCAACTGATCAGGTGAGATCTGTCAACATGTCTGTCTGTAAGCAAAATAATTCCTGAACCACCTCTTTTGAGTAATAACTGGATGTGCGTCTATTACTGACTAACTTTTGTTAAACTATAAGAATGCTGAAACCCAGAGTTCTTTTAAATCAAGTTTTAAAACTTAATTATTTAGAGTTGCCTTTTACTGTTCTATTTTAAATATTAATTATAACATCATTAATTTCAGTCTGTGGTCCAACTTTTCTGTATTGTCCTATTGTTTTATGTAGGTAAAGCCAAGTGTTAAACCCATTCTCACTCCCAAGTCGTCACATATTGATGCTTTTTCCAAAGTTCCCTCTGCGTCCAATTTTGACACGTCGGGTACTCCCCTTGCGTCAGTTTTTGATGAGATGGGGCGGGATCTGTTGTTATAATTTCTGAAAGTGTAGAAAATGCACAAAAACTACCGTCCCAAAGCCTAAAATTACCTTTATTCATTTTAGACATCCTGTCACTGTCCCTAGTACCTAAAACTAACCATTTTTAGAAAATGTAGGAAATTCACGTCAACTGCGTGTTCCAAAGCCTAAAATTACCTAATGTTCACTGTAGACATCCTATCCCTGACCCCAGTACCTAAACTTAACCATTAATCCTGATCCCTCATGTTAACCTCAGACCCCTGACCCAAAGACCCCTGGTGGCGCGATCCGGAAAAAGCCAGCGGCAAGGATTGACGCCAGGGGGGTCACCCGACGAGTCAAAATAAGACGCAGAGGGAACTTTGGAAAAGCGTCAATATGTTGACGAGTCGGGAGTGAGAATGTGTTAGTAAAGCACTCTGAGTTGTCTTGTCTCAAGGGGAAATTACAGATTTCGATTTCATGTTCTTATTTTACTTAATTTATCAAAACCTAAGGCAGGTGTATCAAACTCAGTTACACAAAGAGACCAAAATTCCAAACTTGGTTTGAGCCAAGGGCCAATCTCTGTCAGTATTTATTGAAAAAAATTTTTTTTAATGTTTTCCGTTTTATTCTTACAGAATTTCCCCCCCTTTTTTCTGATTGTATTTTATGCAGCATTTAGAACATTTATTCTCTAACATACAAAGAAAAACAGTTACATTTAGAAACAGATATCATTAGCATTTATCTCTCAGACCTTACACTCTACTCACAACTATTTTATTTACTATTCATTAGAGATACATTTGATCGCAACCCAACAAATCAGTTAAAAAAAGAAAACCTAAATGTCCAGTTATTTGACTATCCTAATAGAAGAGAATACAGAATTAAAGTCAACGACTGTGGAGAAAAAAACTGCACTAAATGCAGAGACAAAAAGAGAAAAAATAATACAATTTAAAATTTGAAATATTTGCTTTGTGGCCGGAAAAATGTTAATGAGGTCCGGATTTGGCCCACTGGCCTTGAGTTTGACACATAAATAATTACAATTAAACAGTTTTTACACTTCTAGATCTATTTCCACTTGTACTGATCCCATAGTGAAATAAACTAACTGGATTATCACTAACAATTAATAATAATATTTTCGACCATGTCTGTTTTACATAATCAATTAAAACCCAGTAAACTTAAAAAATGAAATAAAAAACTCAATCAAATCCAATACGTTATTTTCACACTTGTCAGAGTGGATTGATGAGCTGATCACCTTCTTTTATTCAGGAACAATCGTTTGTCCTCCTACCTTGTTCTACAGTACTGGTCTGGGGGGGAAGCTGGGGGAGCTGCCTCACTCTGCGTGCCGCCGAAGACGCCGCCACACCGCCTTGCAGGAGGCCCCTGACACAAACCAAGGTGACAGTAAAGATTACGGAGAGAACAGACCCGGAGAATCAACAAAAGGGAGACTAGAAGCAGAGCTGGTGGAGAGCGGAAAGGTTAAGTGGCCCGGGAACATCTTTAACGGCTCCGGTTAACCTGTTCACAAAAAGTCTTTTACAATGTGTATGGAGGTAAATTTGTGTTTTTATTATTCAATCAAACAAAAAGCATCTTCAATCAAAAAAAAATTGCTTTTTGTTTGATTGAATAATAAAAACAAAAATTTACCTCCATAAATGTGTGAGGGAAAAAACAAACAAAAAAAATCACCTGAAAGTGCACAAAAAAATCTCAGCAGAGACACGGCTATGAGCAAATAAAGCTGTTGTAAAGGAAAAAAAAATAAAACAACACAATAGAGCCATCGGAAACATTCAGTGTTTAAATAAGACACCAGCATCAAAACAGTGAAGTGAAGCAATCAGCAGCTAGTTGGGGGTGGGGTGGGGGGGGGGGGGGTGGCCGGGGGGGATCATGTAGCCAAACAGAGCAGCAAATCAAGATTTAAACAGTGAAACAACACAGGCTTCAAACACAATCCCATCATTTTTCCACATCTTCATTCTTTCTAACCCACTCCCACAGAGATCCAAGAAAAGCTAATCATCCTAACATGACTGCAGTTTAAACAGCTCTGACATCATTTATCATTCAACTTAGGTGAAAAGGAACAAAAAACAGTGGACAATAATATGTTTTTTATTCCATTACAAAAAATGTTAATAAATATTTTTTATTGTATCATCAGTTTTACTTATTTAATAGAAATTTCTTTCATATTTGTCATCATATTGACAAGCAGTCGGATTTTCAGAGTAAAGCAAAAGACTAAATTAAATCTGTTTTTTTTTTTCAGAGTAGCTATCATTGTTTTTGATGAAGATTAAATGGTTTAACAGACCACATTTAGCAAAACAAACATTAAATAATTAAATGGATGTATTTTTTCAGGAATGCAGAAGCAAAAACTTCTATAACAAACACACACACACACACAAAAAAATACACTGCAGCAACCCACAGCGGGATGCAACAAACACATCCATAAAAAGTCTCCACTTTTTCCACAAGTTTAAACAGATCTGAATCTCCATTCATTCATGCGGGACGCCCCCACTCTGACGCACGAACACTCACAAGTATGTACAATCGCACAATGTGTCAGCAGGCAAAACTCTGAAAGTAAACAGCAGGAAATCAACAGTGATCAGTTCCAATGATCAAAAACCTGATCACACTTTTACTAACTATACTAAGCATTTCGCACTAATTTCATGTTTCATATTTATTTCTTTTTTGTGTTTTATTTCTTGTTTCTTTCCAGCGTTTCTTTATTCCCTGTCAGTTTTGTTTTCCTGTCTCTGCTACGGCTCCGCCCACACAGTATGGTCCCTTTATATTCTGTCTCCAGTCCTCGTGTCTTATCAGTTCACTTCCCCAAGTCAGTCTGGTTGTCTCCACGTTAGTTTCCCAGAGCTTTTGTTTATGAATATTTTATGATGCCACAAAAACCCTTTACTTTATATCAGTTTTTGTGTTTTACCTTTTTTTTTGTCTGCTCCCTGGGGTTTTTTCCTGCACACAACCTGACACTAATGTTTATAAAGCCTATCATCCAGCAGAGATGAACTTTAAGATGTTACTTTTTATTGGTTTATGGACAGTGCTGGTTCTAGCCATTTTGGTGCCCTAGGCGAGTTGAAGCGCACCCCTTCCCCCAAACTATGTCCCACCCAC